GAATAATATTTAGAAAAACTCGAATCCGCTGCTAACTTCATCTACATCTTTTCATCATCCTTCTTTCATCATAACATTCTATTAAATTAATTATGAGATATGATGTAGTAGACAAAGCACAAAAAAAACATGATACCAGTCGTTAATATTGACATCATTTCATGACAAATGAGCTCTCTATTTTTGTTCTTGTTAGATTGCTTACATACTCTTATCGAAATAAATTAACAATACATCTCTCTGTTATTCTAATTATGCAGATAATAGATCATATGTTCATGACACTTGTACAAATAAAACTATTTTAACATATTTTAGATACATTTAAATAAAAAGTCATACTCGTTTTTTACTCAATATGCTTAAAATATAGAAAATCAAGCTATATACACAGTTTTGTATACTTATTTTGTAATTACTCTAAAACATGTATTATTAATATTATGTGACAATCTTCATCTATTAGAAGTGAAGAATCTCAAGGGTATCATATCGAAGATATTTTTATTTTTTTGTTGTTGTTGTTGTTGAAGTGTAAATATTGAGAGTGAGTGAACGATCGACAACTCTATACAAATACCGATTGGACATCGTACAATAGGATAGTTCACTTGTCTAGGAACATTTTTTTATTTTTATTTTCAGCACATGACTAAATACGTTAGGAAGCAAGCAATTACTCAAGAGTAAAAATATAAAAAACTCTAAGTATTAATAATTCTATTTTATTTTTAAAGATAAAACGCCCTTTATTTGAATAGACTAATTCTCGACTATTAAGTGCTCGAATTATATTTAATGAGATGTATTTCTCTCAATTTTTTAATCTATGTAATGCCGCCTTGAAAAATATATATACAGTTATTGAGAACATGTAAAATTCAATTTTAAGATATATTACAAAAGTAAATTATAAAGAAAAAAAGTTAGTTAGTTAGTATTTAGAAATTAAGGATAAAAAGTATTGAGAACGTATAATAAGAATATCAATATTTCCATATCCATTATTAGTGACAATAATATCGGTTGAATTATATCCTTAGTGAAATTACTCCTCAAGCGAGTACGACTTGCCAGCTTGAGTATTCAGATTACTCAAATGAGTACTAGCGAAAATTCACTAGTATTCTTACTGATTGAGTATTCGTAGTCGTACTGATCTAGTTGTTGCTTGTTTAACTTTACTCGCAGGTACTGGTATGAGTACTCATATATTTTTTTGGAAAATAACTCAATAAAACAGTTATGCATTTTCGAATACGAAATATAAAAAAATAAAAGAATATGAAAGTAAAGTTTGCACAATATAATTAGATATGAAAACGTATTTTATCTGTTCCTTTTTACTCAATATTATCAGACGGCAAAACGACTATATTGTTTCCAGGAGAGAAAAAAGAACAGACAATTGGATATTAATTTTCATGTGTTTATTTTTTCTCTTCAAATAAACGTTTGTATTCTATAGAAGAAATTGAAGTTGTTTTCCATGTGCTTAGATATTTTTTCAAAAAACCGTTTTATTCATTAATTAAAAATAAAAAAAAGCAACGTGGGTTGTGTTTATGTATATAGAATATGTACAATAGTCATATATCGAATTACTATCATTCTCGCCAGTATCGTTTGCCTATAATCACGTGTTTAGTGCTTTTATCTAATCTTTCATTTGTTTTAAATGTAGAAATAGTTTAATTTTTATATAATTAGACAAGATTTTTTATCTATCGTTTTATTTTTTACTCTCTTTTTTTCGTTTTTTCATAATGAATATTCTATCATATTTTATCTTGTTTCTATTACTTATGTTCTTTTTTATGTTCACCTTGTTACTGTTACATGATCAAAAACTAGATTATATCAATAGATTAAAAAGTAATACAAATATTGTCGTATATGAATTGAACCAATAGAGTGCTCGTAAAATTAGAAACGAGTAGTTGTTTATAGTACTCAAATACTCAGCAGTTTTACATAAGTACTCCCTACTAGTACTCGAACACTTAATGTGTATGACAGATACAACATACGAGTACTCAAACATCATAAGTACTCATGAGTTCTCGTGACATTTTCTACTATGAGTACTTTTTGAGTAATCCGGTATGAGTTCTTTCACTAGTATAAATTAAAAATGTTATATTAACAAGTCTTCATAAGAATATCAATATTTCCATATGCATTATTAGTGACGATAATGTCACCAACAGTGAGTGCAAATGAATGTGATTCATAAAACTTCCAATCAAGATGGGCCGGTGTGGGCAGATGGAAGATGATTACATTATTCATCACTCACACCCACATTCTTAATGAATATATGTAATACAGACATTTACATTCTTCTGAATGTGGAACATAATTAATCATTAAGCGAGTCTTCCAGTATATATTCTGTCACAATCAAATGCCAGTTGTATTACAGAACAAAGAACGAACATAAAATTGTTTCTTCCTTATAAAATATTTTTCTTTCTTTTTTTGAGAAAACATTTTCAGATATTACTTTCGATGATATAAAGCAGAAATAAATTCCCTGAAGCTACTTGTGGTTGTCATTGATAGTGCATATATTGTTTCCTCGATGCCATATATATAACACTTATTACTTTAACTGTGTGAAGTGAACATCTAAAATACGACTTCAATGAATGCTACATCATCATCTGGTAAATCATATATCTCGCACATTATTCTCGACTCTATTAACATTGCTTTTTGTCTTACACTTATTTTTAAAATATTAATATTTCTTCTATTAATTTTAATTCGTCATCAATCAATAAAATCTCGGGAGAAAATCGTATTTCTTCTTAGTTTTAATATGTATATGAGCATACTTGTATTTGCTCTTTTTTTTCTTGATATGTTTATTTCAATGATTAGAAATCATATTAATTCAAATGCATCTAATAGAAATTCTAATACATTTCAATATCGTTTAAAAGCTTATCTATCGAATGTTGCACTTATTAGTTCACTTTATTCAAATACATTTCAAGCTCTTTATCGTTTTTTTCGAATTATTTATTATACACGTCGTTATTTTTATCATAATATTTATTTATATATTTTCGGTATATTAATTCAAATAGTTCTGAGTATTCTTCAACCGTTACCACTTATTGTCAAAGGTGAATATCAATATGAAGATTTTCATTGTCAAATTCAATTTACAAATTATCGTGGAATGATTTTTGCAGCTCTTCTCGTTTGGCTTTTACCAATTTCATTTACAATATTTATATATGGATATACATTACATTATATACGTTGTAATTCTGCATTGTTCAATGTTCGACAAAGAACAAGAATTAAGCGTGATTTGATTGTTATAAGACGTATTCTATGGTTGCTTATTTTTATAATTATATTTGGTATGCCTGCTTGTACCGCAGCTATTGTCTATTATTTATTTGGTTATAATGAATGGTGGGAAAATCATTTTATCTGGTTAACATTTGTATTATGTTTTATGGGTGTCAGTATTGTACAATCATATTTTTCTCCTCATCTTCGTGTTTTATGGTCAACAAATTTGCATCATACGAATTCATCAACAGCAACAAATTCATAAATACAAAAGAATTTTGATTTTATTCATTTATATTGAATAGAATAAAATATCTTCTACGAAATTTTATGATTGTTATTGTTATTTTTTGTACTGCCTAATAGATTGTAAAGTTGTCATATCTTGAGAAGAATAAACATCAGTAATTACGATCTACATTGAAGCTGCGTTTGAGTGAGAACTAATCTGTTCTTTACCCACACTCGTCGTTATAAATAGTTGTTTTGTTTTTGGTATCAGAAAATTTTCAACTCCCGTATTATCATCTATAACACGGATAGTATAATCGTTACTTTTAATTGAAGTTGATTTCTATGCTTGAGGCCGAGTTCTTTCATTCCTTCAAGTATTTGGTTTTCTTTTGTATCGAGCATCAATTATTAGTATGTGCTCGAGAATTAATAAGAGAAGAACGAATATATAAATTGCTTCGATTTGTTGTTCACAAGCGCATACTCAAACGTTTATCGATTACAGCGATAGAATACGATGTTGATTTATGTTTTCGTTCTACTACTGCCAATTACCATACTCGATTCAATTAATCCATTGACGACAACTCGATCTTATGTTATCAAAAAAGACTTCTTTCGGGGAGCGAAAGCTAATGAATTTACAATTCTAGATCCATCGAAGAAACAACCACAATATCGCATCGAATCTCGATATGGTCTCCTACAAAATGCTGAACTTGTTGTTTACCCATCGAAACAACCCATCGCTAAGCTACAACAAAAATTTAAACTACTTCTCTATAGTGGAATAATCTCTATTTTGGATCAGAATTCCAATCAATGGATAAATGGAACAATTCAAGAAAACTTTCGTGGCACTTACATAATCGAGTGGAATGGACAACGTGTAAATGTGGTATATTCCTTTCTAAACTGGAGCTTTTCTTTTCGTGATGAAGCTGATAATACGATTTTGGCTTCTACTGAAAAGAAACTTATTTCACTGATTTGGAAACATAAATACGAAATGAAAGTATTCTCGAATAAGTTACCAGATGCAATCTATTTTCTGGGACTCGCTGCCAGAGATTATGCAATATCAAGCAGATCGAAAGGGTAGAAGTGTCAACAAAGAATATCATTACGAATTTACATAACTTTTGAAATATATATATATTTAGCCTTGAATAATTGCTTTTATTTTTTCTTTTATATATTCTAATTTTATTCATAACTACTGTCAAGACAAATAAACTCATTGAATAATATCCATATACATAAATTCTTCTTTATTTTGTTTTCGATTAGATAATGACTATCTTTTCCTTTTTACTATTTTAATGAATATGAATAAATATATTTCTTTTGGTGATATAATTATTTCTATTTATCATGTAAGAATTATAATGCACAAGGTAAAATTTAGAAAAACTTATAGGAATTCTATATATGAAATGTAATCTTTTAGAAATCAATTGCTATTGACAATGATTCTACTGAAACAATTTTAGACGAAGTATTGAAAATCAAATTTGAATTTCACAGTAAATGTTGAATTTCTACTTAAAAACAGAAACGCTTTACGTTGTTCACAAAATGTCTTATTTGATTTGTTAATTGTTTCTTTTCAAAGCTATTTATTCTTCTACGTAGTTTGTTTTTAGACATCAATAAATAATTCACTTCGTATACGTGATATTTTTATGACTTACTCAATACCTTCTTCGATATATTTGTGCTTCTTTCTTCAACTTACTGTTTTCATCAAAACCGATTTATTTCTTAACAGCTTTTATTTGTCCATAATAAATTCTTTAATGAGTTGATAAGAACTAGACGAAAAGAGACAGACAAGAATTATTTTGTGCAAATACATACGAATACAAAGAACAGAGATAAGCATCGCGCATATAAAAGATTTCTTTTTACTTAATCCACTCATTTTTCATCTTCCTAACCAATTCTTTTTAAATACCTCGTTGATCCTCGCTTCGACTTCTAAGGTAGGTTAATGTTATTCAATCATAATTTCATGTTATGTACAGAAGAATGTGGGTGCGGGTGTATAATTAATACAAAATCCACACCCACACCCTTCATTAATTAATTATAACACATTATTCTTTTGATTTATATCAACGTTTGAAGAAACTGACACGAAAATACCATAAATAAATGAAACAATAATAGAGAAAATATAACCTTACTTTTTTTGCCTGTTAAAAACACAATTTGTTCAATAATTGTATAGATCGAATAGATAACATCTAAGAACTCTATACTATTTTTAGTTTCTTGAATTAACATGGCCACTGATGTTCTACTGAATAATGATTTCTACACAAACACCGATGACAAGACTCTGGAAATATTCTCTCTTATTTGGCTCGATGCAAATGTAAACATTAAAGACACTCGAGACACAGACGTAAAATTACGTTCTATTATTAATCATATAAAAAAATTTCAAGATATAAAACAATGTCAGCAATATATTGAACAAACATCACAAAAAAATCGATTAATACTTATTGTTAGTAGTCGATTGGGACGAGAAATAGTACCTTCCATTTATAAACTTCGACAAGTTATATCAATTTATATTTATTGTATGGATAAGAAAAATAATGAACAATGGGCTCTAAAATTTGCAAAAGTAAAACTATACTAAAAGATTATATTATTTCATTTTATTACTTTTTTATAGGTCAAATCTGTTGTTTCTGATCTTGATGAACTTGTCTCTAAAATTACAACAGATCATAATATTCAGAAAAAGATAGAAGAACCATTATCAATCAATATTTTCTCAACAAATCTTGATGCAGGAAAATCAATATTAAGAGTTAATGGACAATTTGTTTTTTCTCAAATTCTTATTGATTGTCTTCTAAGACTAAAATCAACTGAAATAGACAAAAATGAACTTATTAATTGTTGTCGAAATGAATATAAAGGGAATCAGACTGAACTTAACAATCTTTATGAATTTCAACAAAATTATTCACCTGATAAAGTATTGTGGTGGTATACAAAAGAAACATTCTTTTATAAAACTCTTAATGCAGCTTTACGTACACAAAATATTCATATGATATTTTTATTTCGATCATTTATTTATGATATCTATCGTCAACTGCAAAAATCTCAATCTAAGCGTTCTTTAAAAGTTTATCGAAGTCAACTAATGTCGATCGATGAGTTAGATGGTCTTAAAAAGAATATTGGCCAATTCATTTCTATAAATTCAATGTTTTCTACTAGTAAACAACGTCGAACAGCTCTCTTCCTCCTAGGTGATATAACTACAAAGATTGATTCAGAACGAGTTTTATTTGAAATTGATGCTGATCCTGAGATAGTCAATGCAAAACCGTTTGCTAATATTAGTAAACATAGTTATTTTCCAGTTGAATCAGAAGTTCTTTTTATGATTGGTTCTATTTTTCGTCTTAATAATATTCATCGTAATGATGATCAAATATGGATCATTAAAATGACTTTGTGTAATGATGATGAGCATGATTTAAAACAAGTTCTTATGTATATGAAACAGCAAATCGAAGATGGTGAAATGAATCTTCGAATATTAGGAAATGTACTATGGGAAATGGGTAAATTTGATTTAGCTGAAAAATATTTTACTCGTTCGTTGCAACAACTTCCATCGAATGATCCATTACATATTAGTTTATATGAAGATCTTGGTAAACTCGCATCACAAAGAGGTGATTATGATATGAGTATGAAGTGGCGTCAAAAATTACTTACATTTAAAGACAAAAATCCATTCGTTATCAATGTTAGTGTTAATAAAACAAACGATTCTCTTAGTAAATTTATTCGTCAAACACTATTCGTATTCAAAAAGCCACCTCAATTAACTGTTAATCCCATTAATATCAATACAAAATGGAAACAACATGGAATTACTATTGCTGGAGGAAATGGATATGGCAATAAATTAAATCAACTGCCTCATCCTCAAGGTATCTATGTTGATGATGATCATCAAACTATTTATATCGCTGATTTTGGAAATGATCGTATTGTTGAATGGAAATATGGAGCAAATCATGGTCAAGTTATTGCTGGTGGAAATGGAAAGGGAAATGGAAGTGATCAATTGAAATGTCCAACAGATGTAATTGTTGATAAAAAGAATGGTTCTCTCATTATTTGTGATTATGGGAATAGTCGAGTGGTAAGATGGTCTCGACAAAATGGTACAAATGGAGAAACAATCATTTCTGACATTGATTGCCGAGGTCTAACAATGGATAAGAATGGAAATCTTTATGTGTCCGACTGGAGGACGAATGAAGTGAGACAATGGAAACAAGGGGAGAGAAAAGGAACAATAGTAGCAGGTGGGAATGGAAAAGGAAATCATTCCAATCAACTCCATTATCCTACTCATATCTTCGTTGACGAAGATTATTCAGTTTATGTGTCGGACACAGAGAATCATCGTGTAATGAAATGGATGAAAGGTGCGAAAGAAGGTATTGTTGTTGCTGGTGGAAAACGTAAAGGAAATAGTTCAACACAATTGTCTTGTCCTACGGGAATGATTGTTGATCATTTGGGTAATATTTATGTGGCTGACAAAAACAATCATCGAATAATGCGTTGGTGTGAAGGATCTAAGGAAGGTAGTATTGTCGTTGGTGGAAATGGATGTGGAGATGAACCAAATCAGTTGAACTGTCCCAAAGATTTATCATTCGATGTCCAAGGTAATCTCTATGTTGTCGATTACTGGAATCATCGAATACAAAAATTTGATATTGATTTGGATTAAATTCAGTGAGATTGATGATAAAATAAATAATTAGATCTTTTGTGAAAATAGTTTTGTTTATTTTGATTTGATATTGTATTGTAATAATTAAAATTAAATTTTCTGATTTGATTGAGATACAAGCAGAAGAGTTGTTTGCGTGAATATTCATCGAATTGCCCGAACAGACTCAATATATTTAATGTTGTGGCATATGAATTATGAAATAAAAAAACACATAAATTGTCAATGAATAAAAACAAAGTTCCAGTATAAATATTAAAAATCAGATTCAAAAAAAAATATTTTCTTAGAGAAACCGAGGTAATACTTTAAAGCAGTATGAAAGACAGCTAAGATTGTTAATGGTTTGAATAATCGAAATGGACTACTACATTGATTCATAACATGTTGAAATTCTGTAGTAAATTCTCCAGATTTTGCTGCGCATTGTAGAAACCAAAACGTATACCATTGCATAATCTTAAATAGAAAAGGTGCTTTTAATTGATGATCCTTAGTTGCCGTAAAAATTCTGTTTCGTTGATATGTTGTCGTCTCACCATTTTCATCAGTTTTGATCACTTTTAATGTTGATGTTTTCCAATCACTTGCAGTTGAAGCAAGCCAACATTCTTCACTAATTGCTGAAGCACGATTATTATAAATATGAGAAATATCATTTAATTTATAACGATTTTCTGCAAATATTTTTCCTAATTCTTTCGCTTGTCTACATGCATGTGTCATACCTTGACCAAATTGAGGATTAACTGTGCACATTGCATCCCCTAATAATACAAAATTTTCAGGCCATTTTTTTCCTAATACTTCAACATATTTCCGATAATCAATTGGACCATTATATGTAGCCAATGGACCATGTACTTTTGTTGATTGTAAAATCGTATAAAAGTCTGAATGTAGATTATCTTTTACCCATTCTAATAGATTTGCAAAGGAATCAATTGGTGGATATTCTGAATTATTGGAATTTATTGCAATTGTTGATATTGTACCTAATGAATTTTCATTTGTTGTTTTTATTGTACGTATTGGAATTATAAACCAACCATTATTTTTTTCAGGACTATTAGCTGTACAACCAATAATAGGCTTTGAATCTAACAATGAATCTCCAGTCTTCATTCTTTCACCAACAAATGTAGTGTAACCACAACCAAAATGTATTTGTTCAGTTGGAATAATTAAATTCAAATCGTCTTCTAACCATTTCATTGATAAGGAATTTCGGCCACTACAATCAATAATGAAATCGGCATACAGATCTACTGCTGGTGCATCAATATTTTGTTTCGAACGATATTTAACACCGTTAACAATACTTAACGATTGATCAACAATGAGTTGTGTAACTTTTGAATTACATATCCATTGAATTTGATGTCCATATTGTAAACATAATTCTTTTCTAATTTCTATTTCTAGCGTAAAACGATCAATACCTAACCATTTGAAGTCTTCGGTTAAATTTTGATTTAGTAACACATCATTAACAACGAGTCTTGATTCATTTTTTAATGAATAAGAACGAACATTGTATTTATTTATTAATTTGTGTTCAAGTTGAGGAAATAATTCACGCAATATAAGTTGTCCTCCAGCTGCCATTAGATGGATCTGATAGATTTGAGGAACACCTGATCGTCCTAGTGATGATGGACTTTTATCGCGACAGCGATAATTTAGTAATTCTTCAGGTGTGAAATTCATTAATTCATGATTTAATACATCATCTGATTCAATAATTGTGATTCGAGAGAAATATTTTGTTAAGTAAGCCGCAGTTACCATTCCACTAATACTACCTCCAATAATAATGGCATGATCATATTGAGGAACATCTGTAGATACTTGTGTTGACGTTTTAATTTTACTGTAAATTATATGTGAAACGATTCCCAAGATGAACGATATGAGAAGCCAAAGCATGTTATACTTTTGAATGTAATAAACACCGAATAAAGTTGTTAATATTTCAACGTATGACCCAGACTAGGATGTTTTTTGGTAAAAATCCACTTGAATATATCAAGAGAAAAACTGAAAATAGAATGTGGTTGAGCTTTTTTCTTACGTATATATTGACTCCGATGAGTAATAATCATGTACAATGAGTAAAAAATGGAAAAAACCTACTTTTTTCTTTTCTTTCCTTTACATATTTGCATATGTGACATCAACATCAGAGACGGATTAAATCACAGTCACCTATTCACTCATTACTCACTTCTTTCTTTCTATCACTCTGATAGGTTTCATATTGAAAGAGAATTTTGCATATTTGCTTATTCCGTGGCGCAACAGAACGAAAAAGAAAGACAAGAGATCTATATGAGGGTTACCAGGAGAAGTTTATGTGAGATGCACAGAAAAATGCTTGTGCAAGCCGTGGAATGGCAAAAGAAGAACAGAAACGAAAAAAGCCAACTTGTAATTATGATTAGAGGTATCAATTTACTTTTACTTTTTCTTCAGGTAAATAATTCTTCCCAACTAACTGATGCTATTTGATAGCACGCAATAAATATTTCTGTTAGCTTAAAGGTGAGTTTGAGTATTCGTAGAAGTTTTTTGTTCAACCACACCCTGTTGTCGATTTATATCTATGGCCCGTAAGCAAGACGTCTTTAAAGGGATATCAATGTAAGAAAACAAACGATCGATTGATACTTAATTGATTATTCTATTTTCTCGTTTTTTTTCTTTTCACATCATTTTGACAGAAGAAGAATACTGATTAGTCATTAGACCGCTGTTCATTCTGTGGTTTCTACTATTCAAACAAGAGATGTGGTCTATTTTAGTCTCGGTTGTTCTTTTTCACTACTTTAAAACGATCTCAAGTAGTTTATGCTTCTCACGGGGAATTCCTTGTCATTAATAAGTAATTCGATCAATTTCATCTACTTCATTTCATTACCGTCGGATAATACACTGCTCACTGTTGTTTCCATTGCGCAACACTCAAACGACTTCATACGCAAGTCATTACTTGTGTGATATACATATATTGTGAAGTTGTTTAGAAGTATTTGTTGTTCTTGTTCTACTTTACTGTTAGGTTTTTAGATTATATATCTGATACTCCTACCTACGTGAATGTGGATTAAGAGAAGTTGAATACCCTCACTCACATGCACGCCGTTGCAATAGACACAACTAATTTCCTTCTGTAAATAAAAGTTTTAGAAATACATGGACTCAAAAATCTATGGATAGAATAAAGCTGTGTAACACCGATATTACTTCAAGAGAAGATCAAAAGCATCAAAATTCTAAAGTCTTTTTTATTGTTAGTCTGTTTCAACTTTAATGTAGATATGTACCATTATCTCTATCAGCTACTAATATATTATTTATTTTATTAGTACTTTTCCAAGTATTTGTGAATGGATCATACAATTCAGCGCTATTTAGATAGCCAGTAGCACCATATCCACCAGTAACTAATACTTTTCCATCTGTTAACAGCGATGCTGTATGCCACTGTCGTCCTTCATTCATCTGATCAGTGATTGTCCAAATCCCTGTTGAAGGGTCATACAACTCGCTGCTATGTAGAAAATGACTGATGCGTGATGCTCCGCCAGTAACTAATACTTTTCCATTTATTAATAGGGTTGCTGTGTGACCATATCGTAGATTATTCATGCTACCAGTAATTATCCAAAGTCCTGTTAATGGATCATATAACTCAGAACTATTTACATATATATTATCATGATATCCACCAGTAACTAATACCTTTCCGTTTGTTAATACGGATGATGTGTGCCACGGTCGTCCGTCACTCATGTTACCCACGCTTGTCCAAATTCCTGTTGATGGATCATACAATTCAGCACTGTTTCGAGCATCACCACCATGTCCACCAGTAACTAATACTTTTTCATTTGCTAATATTGATGCTGAGTGTCCATCTCGTGCATTAGTCATATTTCCAGTAGTTGTCCAAGTTTCTGTTGATGGATCATATAATTCGGCACTATTTAGAATATCACCATGAAGTCCACCAGCAACTAAAACTTTTCCATTTGTTAATAAAGAGGCTGTATGATCAGCTCGTGCATCATTCATACTACCAGTAGCTGTCCAAATTCCTGTTGATGGATTATACAACTCAGAACTATTTAGATAACCACGATCATTGTAACCACCAGCAACTAAAACTTTTCCGTTTGTTAATACGATTGCTGTATATCCATGTCGTGCATCGTTCATACTACTAGTAATTTCCCAGGTTCTTCTTGATGGATCATACAATTCAGCATTATCTTGATTAGCATCACGAACTCCGCCAACAATTAATACTTTTCCATCTGTTAGTATGGATGCTGTATGTTGTTCTCGTGCATTATTCATACTACTAGTTAATGTCCAAGCTTCTCTTAGTGGTTCATACAATTCAGCACTATTTAGAGCATTATGATCTAGTCCACCAGTAACTAATACTTTCCCATTTGATAGTAAAGATGCTCGATGATGTTCTCGTGCATGATTCATGTTACTCATAATTGTCCACATTCCTGTTAATGGATCGTATAATTCAACACTTTTATCAGGATTGTCACCACAGCCACCAGTAACTAATACTTTTCCATTTGTTAAAACGGTTGCTGTATGCAAACTTCGTCCACAATTCATATTACCTGTAATAGTCCACATTTCTGTCAAAGGATCATACAACTCAGCACTCTTTAGTTTATCATTACCGATTCGTCCACCAGTAACTAATACTCTTCCATCTCGTAACAAAGATGCTCTATGTTCATATCGTACATAATTCATTTTACCCGTAGTTGTCCAAGTTCCTGTCAATGTATCATATAATTCAGTACTGTCTAAATAACTGTTACCAAACAAATAAATTCCACCATACCCGCCAGTAGCTAACACTTTTCCATTTGGTAATAAACATACTGTATGGTGTTCTCGTGAATACTTCATCTCACCAGTAATTGTCCAAGTCTCACTCGATGGGTCATATAACTCAGAACTATTTAAATAAGTATTACCATATCCACCAGTGACTAATACTTTTCCATTTGGTAATGTAACTGCTGTATGATCAGATCGTGCATAATTCATATTACCAACGACTAACCAAGTTTCTGTAGATAAATCATATAATTCAGCATTAGTTAAGCGGTTACCATTGTATCCACCAGCAACTAACACTTTTCCATTTGTTAATATGGATGCTGTGTGTTCACGTCGGGCATCATTCATTTTACCAGTAGTTGTCCAAGTTTCAGTCAGTGGATCATACAATTCACTATTATTTACAAAACCGCCGTAGTCTGATTCTCCGCTGATAACTAACACTTTTCCATTCATTAATACACATGATATATGTTGATATCGTGCATTATTCATGCTACGAGTATTATACCATACTACACAAAATTATTTGAATATATTATTTTAAAATGTTTTATAAGAAATAGTTGATGATACGATACGAGAATAGGTTTCAAATGGTTGATAAAGGACCGCGTAAAAGAATAAGAGAAAAATTGAGTTTGTATTTTCTACGTGTCGTTCTATGATTTACATGAGCTAATAAAATGTTCATGTCACACAACTTCTTATTCCTTTGAAGTTTCTGAATATTTCTCGCGGTTAGATACGATAAGAATTCCTGTCTTAGTTTTTCACCAATTTCTATAGCCAGGGATGATGTTCAGATAAAGAGATGCCCCGATAAAAATAGAAATCTATAATTTGACACCTCGCCTGTATGTGTTTTCATCCTACCTCATGCCAGATTCAAAATTAGCATTGAGCAAGATTAAGAAGCGTTACTCTCAAACTTACCTGACTGTGGAGTTGTAGTGATTGTTGTTGATATTGATGTTGTTGTAGTTGTTGCTGTTGATGTTGTAGTAGTTGTTGTTGATGTTGTTGTTATTGATGTTGTTGTTGTTGTTATTGATGATGATGATATTAGTGTTGTGATTGATGACGTTGCGGTGGTGATGATGTCATCTGGCTTCTTCGGAGCAAGAATGACGAATTTTAATAATAATGAAAGAGTAATTATACAAATTGTTATAACGATGAAAGAGATGCAGATGATCTTAATTCGATGATGATTCCACCATTTGGTTAATCCTTTCTTTCTAGAGACTTGCTCGATGTACGCCTGATTCGTATACATATGATGTTTTAGAAGAAACTTAAATTAAATGACGAACGAGTTATTCTTCAAAGCTGCTCTATAGTTGCTTGTCACTTTCAGAAGAATAACAAAAGATAAGTCATATTATTGCCAGCGTAAAAAGTATAGCTATACTCTTATCTTTATATAATAAATTTTACATGTGAGCGTGATAAGGTATAACTGTGCTTCATTTCTAATTTTTCTTATGCCAAATATCCTCGTCATAGTGTTATTTTTAATCCAGTACTCAGGACGAACATTAAAATAACAGTAAACCATCGTATATGATGTCATTTATACTTGTTTTTGCGGCCAAATAATTCAAAATAAAAACAAATTATTTAAAATATATAAAATATACTTACTATTCTTTTCGGAGATAAATAATAAAAAATAAAATTATACCTGCCTCGAATCATATCTACTAAATAAATAAAATGAATATATGATTAATGTAAAATAATACATACCGTCAATCACATCCATCAATCAAATTTAATTAAAATACCTTATAGTTTTATATGAAATCTTTTTTCTTAATTCCATTTCTAATCAGTATAATAAACCTAGATAAAAAAGATAATTGTTGTTTAGCGCGAGCGAGTATATCCAAAAATTTGTATGAGAAGTGACACGTCGCATGTATATCAATGTACTATAAATATCGAGCCAAAAAGTGTTTGAGAATTTGTTTATTAGACTTCGTTTTTAGTGGTGTAGATTTTACATTAGATATATCCTTAACATTTAAAAGCACATGTAGTAGGAAAACGCAAAAGTTAAAAGAACAACAGAGTTTTTGAATTAAATCGAATGTGGGTGCGAATGTATGACTGAAAGAAGATACACCTACATACATATCCCTCTCTTGTTGATTATCATAAGAATTTCATGTAGCTATTTTCAGTTAAAATACAATAAAAAGGTTAAAAAAATGTTTTTTCGATCACTTACAAATTACTTGAGAAAATGATTCCACTTTTCGATTCTTTTAAATTGAAGTCGTTTGAATTATCTAACTTTGTAAAACATCAAATTTTTTATAACTATAGAAAATGAAAGGTATCAAAAGTACCTTTCAGAAGAGCTATAAATCAGAGAAAAACATTAAAGATATATTCACAAAGAGTATCAAATTCATTAGCTTCATTAAAGATTTACTCTCAATTATTTAACGACAAGATAGAGATTAATCAATGGAAGTTTTGATTTTTGAATGAAACAATTGTTACAGATTGATTCTGATCAATAAACAATGATACTTGTCAATTTTGTTGTCTTCAAGCGAAGCCTGCATTTCGATACACAGCTATGTCTTTCAATCTGAAATCAATAACGAATTCGAGAGAATTGATCCATCCATAGTAGTAGTCTTATTTCTTCATGAGGTACTAATTCTCTCTCTCGTTAGACAACAACTCTACAATACTTTTTTAGTTTTGTGACAAATCCTTCGATGAGAATTTGATCGATAAATAGGTCACAGTTTTGAATATGTTTATTAAAATAAATAAAAGGCATATTGAATACATAGAGTGATGTCATAATCCCATTACACCGGGTATTCTACTACAAACACGTCGCTTACAAAGTTACCCCGCTAGGGTATCGTGCAACCACCTCGTTACCCAAATGAAGTATATGTGAAAAGCTGAGGAATATGAGTTGATTTGGAGTAACCACCTCGTTACCCCAAAGAAGTATATGTGAAAAGCTGAGGAATATGAGTTGATTTGGTGTAACCACCTCGTTACCCCAAATCCACTCATATTCCTCAACTTGTATAATGAATGTATTTTTTAGTGGGGTAATGAAGTCATTACTCCTTGATATAATATGTGGAGTGAATGTTAATTTACTTTCGTTGACCTCATGTTAGGATATCCTGCCGTCTGGCTGTCGATACCCGGGGTAATGGTATTATGACATCTATGAATACATAACAATAAGAAAAGCAAATATGTGATTATCATTGACGTTATTAATTTTGTAAAAGATCATCGAAGACGAAACCGTTGCACGCGGTAATTGGAGGAATCCGAAACGTAGATGTACGTTTCACTTGGATCAAGAGCCACACTACCTGGACTGTTAAGAAGTTGATTAGTATTGCCTGGTGTGCCATTTGCGCTGCCAGCTACAACTGATCCTTGTGTGGCACCAATTTGCCATTTCATAACACGATGATTTCCATTGTCAGCAATGTAGAGAGTTTGCCCGTCGTATGTTACCCAAATACCTGTGGGATAATTCAGCTGGTTCAAGGCTGTTCCTATACCATTATTACCAGCCACTGTTTCTCCTGTTCCATTACCTCCGATCATAAATCTTTGAATCCGATTGTTAAGAGCGTCGGGAACATAGAGAGCACCCCGATCCTCGTCCAAATGAATTAATCCGGGCCAATTAAATAATTCACTGGTAGTACCAGATGTTATATTTCCCGCTACGCGCACGCCAGAGGTTCCATTCACTACCCATTTTACTATCATGTTACACTTAGCCATCGTTACGTATATATTACCAGATCGATCAACTGCTACACCATGAGCCGAGTAGAGTCCGGTTAAATTGCAGGAACTTGTTGATTGTCCTACAGCTGGAATGCTTTTGAGATTTATTCCACCTCGTTGAATGTATAAAGTACCATTGGCAGAACTTTCATCAGTCATATAGATGGTACCCGAACTGTCGACGAATACGCCCTCAGGACGAACGAGTCCAGTAGATAGAAGTACGAGTCCGGTGCGCGAGAACGGTGCATAAGCTAGAAGCTTGGAACCATCAAAGTCAGCAACATAGAGGGTCCCATCGAATGGAGAAACGTATATACCCCAAGGACCGACGAGTCCGTTTGAGCTTCCATCAATAGTAGCATTGCAATAACCGGCCACCGTTTGACCAACACCTACTGCTACAGCTGCAATAATAAAGCAAGATATAGTACTGTAGTAGATGTTAGGGTATGGGTATAGGTGTGAGTGAGCAGATTGAAAAAGATTCACACCCACACCCTCAATGTCTTTCTCTCGC